ACCGATCACTTTATGAAACATTTAATATATTAATATACAAGATTGTTTACAAAGAGCACAAGGGGGGTTCAGCATCTTTATGTTAGCCCTTCCCATTTAATTTCGGGATACAGCTGAAATATCCATTTTGAACGCTTCCGAATCCATCTGGACGATTTTTTTCGCCTGACATCTGTACGCACGTATAAAATAAAGGACTTTTTTTGTAAAACGAATTTAAAATGGATTCAAAGGGGACCTTTTTCCTGACGTCTGTACGTACATACGTATGTATGTATCTCAACTCAAAAAAACGATCAACCGTAGAACGTTCAAATTTTGTATATGGGACTGCTGTAACATCTAGTTGTGCGCCTCCCTTTTTTATCGAAATAATCGACAACACCAAACATATATATATTATTCATGTTTTAACAATGTCAAATTTTAATTTTGGCAAGTAACGAAATCTAACTTTTAATACGATCTCCCGGTTCTTATACTTATACTTCCTATACTTATATTTGGGAAAGTTTTATACTCGTTATGAAGAAATAAAATTATAGGAAGTTTAACTCCCGTATGGTAAACGTGATCGGATTATTTAATTTAAAAATTTGCAATTTTTGATGTCATTTTCAACTTGCCTTGAGGGATCGGCTAATTAAATTAGAATAATTCGAGGAAGTAAGTGTAAATGAAGTGCAGCAAATAATGTGTATAATATAATAGGCTGTTCAAGGAAGTCGTGTGGTGTTCACGTCAGATTATTTCATCTTTGTAAAGCGCCTTAAAAAACTCAGCATGATCTTAAATTCGAAACATTATATATAGCAGGGTTTCTTACACTTTTTTCAGTCGCGACCCGTTTTATCACTGAGAGTTTTTCGCGACCCCCAGGACCCATAATATTTACGAAAATTTTGTGGGACCTATTAGCATTGCGCAAATCCGACACAAGCGTGTGTGAAACTGTCAATGTTTTCACTTGTACTGTAATATACTATTGCAGTTTTACGTCATTAACTTTAATTTCTAATTTTAAGACATAGAACAATGTGAAAATTTTAAATAAGAAACAGACGAAATGGCAGCGTCACGTGCAATGAACGTTTTTATTATAAAAAGAATGCGTCGAAACGTTTTCCTTTTTTTCTTTGTCTGTATTGTGTTATTTTTATCTATTTTCAGATACATTGTGTAAAAATATTTGGTAATTGTAAAATTATTATAATAAGTTAAAGAAAGATCAAAACTGCTAAATTTTTCGCGATCCCCTGCCACAGGTCCCGCCACCCTCTGGGGTCACTACCCACAGTTTAAGAAACACTGATGTATATCATCTTAATTAAGCAAGTTCATCTGTTTTATTTAAAATATGTTCACCGAAAAAAAAAAATATTAGCTGCAATGATAGCAAATATCATTAGTTTGATATCAACAGAAATGCCTCTTAGAAAATGATATCGATTAGTATTCGTTCTTTGTATAAGATTTCATTTATAGCACATGTATAATGTTACACGATGACACATATGAATTTCGGTCTTCGCTTTTGATGTGTTCTTCAGAAGGGCATCAGCTTCAGAAACCCGGGCTTTGTTGCACTGCGAAAGTGTGCCCAAGTGTACCTGCCTCAGGGTTCAGTCAGCTGGTGAAGCGGTGCAGACACAAGTAGACAGCTCTTCGTCACGTACCATGTAATGAGGTTATCAACGAATATAGCCCATAAAATTCTTTTAATAGAAGAATAACTACCGATAAATAGTTAATGTCTTGCCTTCGACTTCCTAATGTTTTGATAAGGTCACACTGAAGTAGATTAGATAAATTTAAAGTTCTGTAAAAGACTGTGTGATTATTAAAGCATACGCTTTATGATGATGAAAACATTTGAAATAGATAAGACGATGTAATTTATGATCTGTCTTACACTGGTGATGTGCGAATGAAATTATAAACGCCAACCGAAATGTGTAATTTATTAATTTGAAATCAAAATCTGGAATCAGTATAGGAAACATATTATTGAGTATCTTGACTAAATATAATATAGACAGGGTAGAGGAGACTGTAATTAAATCAGCGTTGTACTGAAAGTGAAGGATTACATAGCGAAACTCCAGCTATCCAGACTAACGGCAACCATAAAATCCGTCCGGATAATTTGATTTCCCCCTCTATGTCAATTCCTTTTTCCGCTATAATCCATTTTTTTCCTGATATTTTACTTTTGTAAAGGTCAAAACAAGCTTATTGCGATAAAACTGACAAACAAATTATTTTAGTTTGCCTATATATGCAAACAGTTTATATTTCAAGTAGAATAAAAACTGCAAAATTAATTTTTATTTTCGTAAACTCTAAAGCTTGAATATGTAATCTTATTTCTATCTTTACCATGTTAAAATTAAAGAGATAACTTATTTCTTATTTGCGTAACTTATAATACAAACGATACGCGTAACTTATTTCTTTTTAACTTACTATGCGCATAACTTATTTCTTTTTAACTTAAACTAAACTGAATTATGCCATGTTTCTTTATTCGGTGTTTTAAAAAATGGCACTTTTTATAACTAAGCAATGATTCATAGAGGAAGCAAAGAAGAGTTACTCTACATAAAGTTAGTAATTATTTTTCTATTAAATAATTATCAGACACTTTTTACCAAATGATACGTGACGACAGGTTATTGGAAATTTACATACTGTTTTTCAAATGATTAATGGGGCATTTTATTTAATTAAATGAATACGCAGCATATAGGATGAAAATAAGTTATTTTTAACGGTAAGTCAATAAAGATGAAATAAAATTTAATGATTTCTTAAAGAACGCATGTTATACAATTTTATTTTTTCTCTTATTTAAAACAATGAAATAATTAAAAAGCCTTATACACAATGATAACAAGTATAAATAAATTCATGTTATAAGGTATTTCCCCCACTTTCCTTGAGTCTTGGCGACTGGGTCTCTTAAAAACCCCAATCGCCCTTTAAAAAGAAGAGTATATAAGGTATGTCCTCCCACTTTCCTTTCGTGGTGTAGTGGTTCTGCACGCTGCCCCGGTATTGCAGAGGTCCGTGGTTCAATTCCCGGCGAAGGCGGTTGCTAATTTTTCATCTCTCTTGCTTTAAAAAAATCCTAATGTATCTACAATGTGACCTCATAGGAGAGCAACCTAGTATGATGATTGGCGTTCTACTGTATTTACATACTTAAAGAAAACGCTAAAAAACAATTTTATGCGTTTTTATCAACAATTATGCAAGCAAAAGAACAAATCGAATAAGAAAGTAAAAAATCCAAAACACGATGCGTAAATTGTAAATGCATGAGATCGATTTGTATATGTACGTACTTACAAATAACAGATCATGTATGCATATTTTATAAAATTATCCCTTTAGAAATATTTCTGAATTTTTTTCGGCGGCCGTTTGACCTTTAAAATTTTCTGTAAAATTAGTCTTTCGACCGAGAATAATTGCAACATTTTAATGGATCCGCATCTGAGGCCACATCTTCAAATCTCTATCCCATTATATTTACAGCATCTAGGTATTTACAGCATATACCCTTATAAGTAACAAGGTGCTGTTAGTTTCTATATCTTCTCGTTGTTCTTCTTTTTCCTTCTGTGCATCATTAAAAGGTTTTTAATAATTTCGAAGGTTGTGTATATTAATATTCTTCTGTGGAGTGCCCTCGAAAAATAAAAAAAATTGCACATCTTTGCAGAAATCAATGAATAGGAGTGCATGTGCGATATATAGAGGTTATGTTATTTACACGGAGGAGGGAAGGATTCCTACCTCCATGGTTATTTATAACTATCTGAACTTGTGACAAATAAATCCATTGATGAGGCAAATTTTTGGACGTAATCTGAAATGCTCTTAGTACTGAGCTATTTCATCAGCTGCGACTTCTTTACAGACTAGTAATTTGATATGAAAGTTATCATCTTTGTTATTAAAAATCTTATATTATTTATGTAATTCTTTAGTTAAGTAAAAATATCCTAATCTAGAATTTGTACTGACACTTCAAGTTCCGATTTACTGAACACAAATCATTCGACTCATGAGATGAAATATTAGTTCGTAAGTAAACACAGGGCAACCACAATATAATGCGCAGGTCAAAGTAATTCAATTTCTGCTGAAGCAGTCACTTGAACCGGCAGCCGAGCTTAAATTCAACGGGAACGTGACTCCGAGCCGGAGAGCACGGCAGACCCAGATGAGCTCCGACACTTGTACAACTAATTCGCAAAACGTGATAAAAGCAAGATTTCCTTTAGCAAGTATTAACATCGATCTCGAGCCTAACTATTAACACAAATGCCTCGGTTTCGCTGGGAAGAGCAAAATACACGGAAAAACTTGAGCAGCGAAGGAGAAAGGGGGGAAAAATGTCAAAATGCAATCCCTGCATTAAGATAATTTTTGTCGGCCTTATACGTCTAATCAAGCTTTTAAATGGATTAGAAACCAAAATAAAATTCAATTTTTTCCTGATCTCGCAGAATGCCGATCAAAATGCCTACTTCTCTTTATCCTCGATGCGAACAGCCCGGCTGCATGGTTGGCTTTCCCCACGTAAACCTAAATACGAGCCAATTTCCCTTAAAAAGCCCACTACGAAGGCATAGCATCCCTTTCCCTAGGCAGATGGACTAAATCTAACCTATCATTTTATCCTTGCTACCATGTCTTATTATTTATTTTTTTACTCCTCTTTCATTTATTTTATTACTTAATTTAAGCCTTGCAATATTTTAATTTGTTATTTACCTATTTATCATAAATTTAATTTTTACCTATCTTCATTTTATTTAATTTTAACTATTCATTATTTGTTATTTAATTTATAATTATTTATTTATTTTGGTTCTATTTTCCGAACCGACATTTCTAATTTTAGAAACTAAGCCCTGAGTCGGGCATTTAAAAATAATATGGCTCATTCTGAAATAAAACTCAGACTAAAATTTTGCTTCTGCTTTCAGAAGCAAGCAAAACTCAAAAAATCTTTGCCAGGCTCCAGGTTCAATTTATTGTAACAGCTTTGTGATTAGTTTGAATGTGAGGAAGCAACAATGTATCTTACAGGTATGTCATATGTAATATTGTCAGAACTAATCGTGCATTCTACAGTCACTGCTAGCGCTAGCGTAATAACAATTCTTTCTAAACCATGAGTCATTGCTGACGTGATACAATATATGTAGGAGCGAAAACAACAAAAAGAAAGTTTTTTGTAAAATATTGTAATTAAGTACATTGGTGGACATGAAAATTCTACCAACTTAACCTATAAAAGAATTGACGTGTTCTGGAGCAAAACTTGTGCAGATATACAACAGGGAATTAAAACTTCATGGAAGAGTCGTGGCTGTGTTGCACGCCATTCAATTATTGCTACTTCTGGGCTTATTCGCGGGCGTGAAGGTTTGTGTGCATAAATAAAAAGAAAAGGTGTAGAGTAAAAACGTTGATTTTTTGAATACTGAAATAAATGTTTCAGGCCTAACATTATATAAACACAGACTTGTGTTTTTTCGCCTTCGAAAAGTTATTTAGATGAAGATTCCAAAGTATCACAAAGAAATTCATTTTTGAAGAGATTCTACAACATAATGCTTCAGACAAAACTCAGTTATTAGTGATATTCAAAACCATAATTGTCTGAGATTAAATTACTACGATTAAAACAAATCGGACGAAGATGGATTTTCGCAGAATGTACAATACTGTGTTCAACTTTTCTTGCAAATTTGTGAGTTTTTCTGCGTGCATTGAAAGCGTTTCACTAAAATCTATTACTTTTGTTTTCACTGAATGTAATTTCGTTAACTTTGTCCATTAAGGCAATTTTCTTAATGGCATTCATTCACTTAAGTGCTTCTAATAGATGCATGTCTTTATGTAATAGAGAAAACTTGGCTTCAGTTAATGTTTACCCTGCAAACTTTAACTTCATACTACTGAGGTAACGTAAATTCTTAGCCCAAAAGGGACATTAGTTTCGAAACGGCATTTTGCGTTGAATCGCTATAAACTTCGTATTACTTTTCAAATTGTTGCCACCAAATAATATCGCACTGTATTTTATTTAAAGAAATTAAATAATGAAGAATCTGCATGAAAATATGCATTCTTCTCGCATAGTGAAGAAAACAACGGTACCTAGAACCATCAAAGTTTGAATAAAGTAGTACTCCACCTGAACATGGACGCACCTGGAAGCTCGAATTTTGAATTTCGAATTTTATATTTCATAATTTGTAAAACTTTAATAAATTTTTAGTAAACTCTACTATTTGAAAGCGAGCAGTAGCAACACTGTGCGGATTAAAACATTTTTATTTCCAGCGCGCGAGACTGTCTATTGGAAATTCTAAAGATATGCTGTTTATAAATATTTTGTGATTTTGCTATTGAATCGAATTTTATGCGACGTAAGCGCCAAGAATGTGATATTTAATTTAAAAAAATGTAAACATATAAAACACTAATAATAAAAACACAAAAAAATGTTGTGTAAAGCCATCTTAATAGGAAGACTGAATATTGATATGATGAACTGAGAAAAGACGGGGGGGGAACAGAAAAATTTATGCCAACATTTTAACACTGCATCGGGAATTTTAAACGTATACTGCTACTTAAACGCAAACTGCTATGTATAATTTTAAAAGCAGCATAAGTAAACTATGCTGCTTTTAAAATTTTTGTAATTTTGCTGTTGAGTTGTATATGGCGTAAGTGCGAAGAAAATGATGCGTGATAATAAAGCTAAAAAGAAAATGGGTTAGTAGGAGCGAGTGTATCAGCATTCTAAGTAGACTGCGAGCTCAACGAGGGCGTAGAAAACCTTATACAAACCGTTAAAATCTGAAACCTTTTTGGGCGACCGTTAAAATCTGAAGCCTTTCAGATTTGATTTTTAAATGAATTAATCCTTTTATGTACTGGAATCGTTTTCTGAAGATTACAACAATCGAAAGTTTCAGTCATTCATTTCCAAAGAGCACCTGATGAAAAGATTTAAGAGAAAGATTGGAAAAATAAAATTACCTCATGATAGAATTCCTGTGCCGAATCCGGAATAGCTGAATTCCATTTACTGTAACAAGTTTCTAACAGTCTCGGTTTAGAAGTAATTTATCGTTTTAGTTGATTATTATTTTTTATTGCGGATAATTAATTTTGTATTCCTGTCTGTGAAACTATGCCAGTCGCAGCCTCGGAGTAGCAAATGCAAGGGAACAGCGCTCGCGAAACTTGGCTAAGATTCGCACGCTAGGAAAAATTTATTTATAACTGTAGGAAATATCTATGATCTATTATGATTTATCTTTTAAATATGGATAAATATAAAATTAATATTCTGAGCTGTTTCATTTGTTAATCACTCAAATGTATTAAGAATGCTTTTCAAGTATATTCTTATTTATACTAAAAATCTACCGCAATTGTTTAGTCTCCCTGACTAATTTTAGCATTGCATTGTCTATCGATCTTAAATACTGTATCTGATATATGCTAGCAAGGAATGCAATGATATTGTAATGAGAAATAGCCCTTGATCGCTTTGGGAATAAGGAACTTTTAACTTCGAGAAATAGTGAAAGAAATCTTCATAACTTGAATCGATATGTAGATTGATATCCATAGTATCCAATTATTTCAATGTGTTTATCTGAGAAGAGAAGTGAAATGTTTATTCTAGGAGCATAAAATTACATTTGCCTTTATAACTGTGTTCATATTTTCTGTGTTAGAAACGGGTATATTGTGATTAATAATTTCTTAATTATGCGTTCTTAAAGAAATATAGCCTGGAAATGGAAATGAATAGGATATATGGTAAAACGAGTAAAGCAGTGTTGTATAAATCGAAAAACAAAATGAAAGAAAGCATGTGAGTGTTTTTATCTTCCTATTCGAAATGTCAAAAGGTGTTTCCGATTTCCATTATAATTTATCAGCTACGACTTCTTTACAGACTAGTAACGCTACTTATTTACGTAAGCGTTCATATAAGACTCCCGAACTAAAATTTCCTCATCTCCGATATGCATCTTCAGTAAAAATATATTAAGCCGATTATTATGTATTCTGAAACATAAGTTACGTGATCATGTTTCTGGAACTCTTACGAGTTGCGCTTGTTGCGCAAGTTTTGAATCACACCTTTTATGGAATCACTTGGCACACATCATACTGCGAATGACATTGAAGGATTACAAGGAAATCCACGATATTCAACACGGTCTTCCTGTTTTACACTTTCTCCCTTTCTTTTATGGCTTCCATACTAAAATCGATGCACCTTTATAATCTTTCAAATACTGTCTAAATCTTGGAAATGAATCGAATTTTCTTATACATTACTGAAAGTGTACACTTTACGTTTTAAAATCGTTTTATTTTCGAATGTTCTGGAAGATGCGTTTAAGTAAGATATACATTTTTAAAGATGTGCTATATATGAATTATTGTCTTACTATTTTTTTTATTTCTTCGTGATATCTTATGAATACTTTTTTCTTAAATGATCGTGTATTTCCCAAATAAAAAGGAATTTTTTTTTACTGCGTTAATCGTATTTAAAATAATCATTGCTCTGAGTTCATTAATGCTCTGACAATCTGATCCTTCCCCACATATATAAGAAATATATATTTCATTTAGAAATTTCTATAATTTTTATCTTTATTTTATTTTATTTGCTTGTCTTTTTTTAACTTTCATTATCATTATTATTATCTGTTGCAAAATAGACTAAAAACTGGGTATAAAAATACGACATATTAATAAAACGTGAGAAATTGCCAATAAGTCATTTCAAATCTCCAAGCAGAAAGTAGTACTTTGGATTAATTATCAACTCTTATTTTAACTGTTGAGATCATATTAATTACATACTTACATAGGAGAATCTAGTCTATGTGAATATCTTTCGATCTATATAATAAAATTCAGATAACAAAATGTAGATGTATATCGCCAACAAATTAGACCAGTTCTGCATACTTCGGCCAAACGAGAATTCAGCGCATTCAAAGCAAAATTCCCAAAATTATAACAAAATACTTCGAGATGCGTACGAAATTGTTTCTCAGTGTACTAGCAAATCATCAATTAATAGAATTAATATCGTCTTTATGCAAGGCACATATTTACATCTAAAATGTCAGGAAATTAAATTTTCAGTCAGTAACGACCCATGTGAGACTGTAATTTCAAATGCTTATGTCCAATTTTTCAAAACGATTGATAAACAATTCCCGTCTTTGATGAATTCGTTTCCAATATTCTGGTTATGATTTTGCATTAGTATTTTTTTATGGCGAAGTGAAATCGCGCTTCATTATAGCAGATATTCAAGTTCTATGAGATAGATTTTATAAATGAGTAAATTTACAACCCTAGTTACTTAGCAGTTGACTAAAAACCTAATTTGCATGCAAAGATTTAGATTTCTTTATTTATTATTTATCACAAATTATTAGTTATATCATTGTGAAAGCATATAATGTAGAAAAATATGTTATTATATATATAATTTTATTTTCCAATGAATAAGCTATTTAGTTCGTTGATATTTTTTTCAGTTGTGAAACGTAGTATGTTTATAGTGCTTGATATCCATATATTGATAATGGCATAAAAGTCGAATCCTTTGTGATGCTCAGTATGACCGAGGAGAGAGAAAGTGACCACCCTGGAAAAAAATGTTTTCAGGAGGCTGAGAGAAGGCGGAGATTCGATCGATTAATCGTTCTCTGTCTGTGCTGCTGTTAAACGATATTGCCCGTCGTATCGACCAACGTCTGTCTGCCTGTTTGTAGCTGCATTTCCCGATGTAAGGATGTGGTATCAGACAATTGGAGATGCATCCTTAGGGGTGAGGGGATTTCCTTTAAGAGGAAGGGGGGGGAAGTTTCAGATATTTCTCCAAACAAATATTTTTCTTTTTTTCGAATGTCAACTCTCTCTTTTTTAATTTAATTTTTTTTTTTAATTTTATTTGTTGTTGTTGTGAACCTACAGTTTAGATATTACTTTTCAAACTGGTATATACAGATATTAATTTTTGTGAT